CCATCTTAACTGAACATGCTTGGTCAATAGAGGATTTATTATATGGTAAAAGAACATAATTTCCTTGCTAGAAACAGTGGGTGAACCCGGTTAGTAACATACATGCAGGGTCATGTTGCTGTTTGCGTAGCCAATCACAATGCCCACTCACAGAACTAGATATACAGTTGAACCTCCGGTTGGGACCACCTCTTGTACATGTAAGTGGCCACCTCTCTTCAGCAACCAGTTTTACAAAATACTAAAAGTTTCCAAGTCAAATCATTATACTTGGAACCTCTTGTAAGCGACCACCTCTCGCAAGCAAATGTGACCACTTTCAGAACTAAAAGTTTGAAGTTTTCTTTTGTTTTTAACCTCCTGTAAGCGACCACTTGACAGATAATAGAGTGGAAATTGGATAATAAGGTGCTGTAACATGACATTAACAGTAATTCCTGGGTAGTACAAGAGACAGAAATTTGTCAATGGGAATTAACAGATTTTTTCTTGAAAATGACTTAGCTGTCTTTGGCAGTTACCATATTCTAATGAGGCAAAATTTTGACCTAATATGGTCTAAGTTCTTGTAAATAACCACCTCCTGGAGTGGCCACCTAGGCTTGACATTCTGGGTGGTCGCTTACAAGGGGTTTGACTGTAATATTAATTAATAGGGAGATCAGATACTTCNTGATTGATTGATTGATCGATCGATCCATTATCTGATTGATTGATTGACTGCTTGACTGATTGACCGGTTGACCGGTGGACCGGTGGACCGGTGGACTAATCGACTGGTCGACTGGTTGACTGAATTATTTGTTCATTCATTCATTCATTTATTGACTGAATCAGTGAGTCAGTGATTTGTTTGAGTTTAATTGTTTATTTGTTTATTCCTTATTGGACAGAGAAAATAATTTTGCATTGCAGTCCCATAGTAACAAATTTTATAGTGGAGAGGGGGGAGGGGGGGGAGGGGCACAAGGGCTGGTAGGGTATGCTGATGGGCCTGAGGCCCATCCTTTTAGGAGGATCCGAGGGCATCCTTCCTAAGGAAATTTTGGAAGTTCAGCCATGCTCGAACGCCATTTGGTGCATTTTGGAACACCTTTTTGAGATACAATTTGTTTTCATTTTTAGGCCTTATTTAAGTTCCATTTTTTTTATTATTATTTTTTTATTATTATTATTTTAACATGATGAGTGCTCCGCAGTTTTTGCAAGGCAATCCCAAAGAAGTCACAGAGAAGAGAGAATTAGCAAGACATGTGGAGAAAACGGCTGACATGGCAGGTCTCCAGGGAAATTTAGCAGTCAGGAGAGTTTTTACAGCACATTTCTTTTTTCCTCCAGTGAGTAAACTTTATTTAGACAGGGTAGCCCATTCAGCTCCGAGGCTGGTCTCAATAGGGGCCCTGTATCTAGAAGTTATGGGATTAAAAGCCTCAAATACAGCCGTAATAAAATTTAGAACGTTTACAACCAACTAGCAAAATTATATATAAAAAAATGTTTACCAAAGCTTATCAACCCTTAAGAACCTTAAATTTCTCTGACTGGTTAAATTTTCCCAAAAAAGTGCGGAGGGATGAGGCGTCACCAAATAAAATTAAAGTTTTATGAGCTGAGCTATGCACACGCGTTATAAATCTTTGTACATTCTTTAATTAGCCGTAATCTGCAAAACAACAATGTGAAATGACCAAGTTCTGAGTATTTGGACAACCTGAACCGCGACGCCTAATTTTGCGTATTTTCTTTTGGAACTTAACGCTGTCATAATTTATTTAGCCTGAGCAAGTTGTTTGACCGATAGGCGTACTGAAAAGATCTACACAGTTGCGACATTCGAAGGTAACATATAAATCCATTTTCCATTATGCCATGTCCCAGGCGTCACCGTCGTCATTGCTTAAACTCCCTATAAATTACATACATTGCTGGCAGATGATTCTCTGTGCCAGTAACATCGCTCTCACTTTCGGCTTCTTTTTGACGTTGCTCATGGACTATATAACATGATGTTCTTTTCCCCACCGGCCACAGAAAGAAATGATCGATACTAATCACAGCACTGTAAGCTACTGTAATTCAGTCTCAACTGATGATTAGCATTCAGTGAACTCTGGCTCCGCTTTACTTAGCAACGCCACTCTGCATGTTTCCCCTGAGCTCTCAATTCTTTCCCTACTACATGTAGCTTTTCTCTTTAACTTGTGAAGTCAACGACGCGCGCGATCGAGTGTTGTACACTATCTGCCAGCAATATTATGGTGAGTGCGAAGTGGTTTTAGCAAGTGAAAGTGTTAAGCTTTTCCGCTCGAATTACTGAATCGAATTCATTTCTGTAACCTTCAATTGCAAGCGCTCTTTTTGCGCCTCATTAACATGTTGTTATTAACTGTGTTTCGTTATCATGGGACAAAACACTAACGGACCCGCGTATAAGCCTCCCACGTTGAGAAGACTTGCGACAACAACATCGTCGCAGGGATGTTTTCAGGTTCCCACCATAAACACCGTACATTATGGGATCTAAGACAGTGTTGAGAACGATGAGCAGTTGACTACCTCTCCAGATCACATTGGACTGAGGTAAATGAAAATACGTCAGAGTTCGCATGACCGTAAATGGGGATCAGCAGAGGATAAACACAGTTGTCAGAGCAAAAAGTGTCTTGGCAACCTTCTTGTGCCAAGTGTCTCCATTTGAGTGGGAGCGACTCTACTTGTTCGAAGAGCACGAAATATCTTACTTTGCAAGAATATCATGTACGACAGTGGAAATACAAAGAAAAAGAAAGCATGTAGACTGTAGAAGACTTGTCGACCAACATCTCCCCAAGTCGTATTGTTACAGACCATCTCACCATTCTCGTCAACTAACTGGTACAACGCTAGTAAGGGTGAGCAGTGAGCCGAATAACCTCCCCACACCGTGACTATCTTGCGATAACCTTTGTTCGAGAAGTTCCTCGCTCTTGCGTTCAGTGGGTCTGAGATAGCTGTTAGTCTCTCGTAGCTGATCACTACAAGGGTGGCGATGGAAGCTGTGTAAGTCGTTTCAAGAAGAAATCCATACAACCTGCAAACGATGCTTCCTCCAACCCAGTACCACAAAAAGCTTGTCCCATTGAAGATCTAAAGAAGGGTAAACAAAAGATCTGCCGTCGCTAAGTTGATTACCAACCACATCAAGGAGACGTTTTTTCGTTTCATGGTCTTGTAACATGTGAATATAACCCACGCATTACCAAGCGTGGATAAAAGGAACACAGAAAAGTAAAATACAACAAACGATATTACCAAAGGTAAGGAAAAATTGTCAGTCAGACATAATGGGTGAGGAATCTGTCAGTCAACAAATGAACCTCTACTGGAAAACATACTTTCAAAATATACTGAGGTTAAGATAACACATTTCATTCCAATTATTTCTTGTCAGCAATCAATTATCCCTCACCTCGCTTTTTCGAACTGGTAATTAGGAAATGCCTCGTAAATTAGGTGATATAAAGAAAAGATTGGAGGATTAGTGGAGACGACATATAATAATTAGATAACGTGTCTCCATTGATAAATTATATTTTAGTTGTAGTTATCACTGGCCATGGCAACTTTGAATAACAGCTCAAGAAACTGGTAGACATTAACTTAAGATGCTCTTCCCGAGATTGCCTTGCACGCTACAGGAAATTGGAATTCAGTGATTACCAAAACGACTTCAAGCAGATAAATTTGAGATCGATGCGGTAAGGAGGTTCTTTTAACCTTGTTAACAGCTGTATAACTTTTTAAACTGAGTTTCCATTGTCAGATTCTCAGTATGTAAGTACATTATTGACTCAAATTCAGCATGAATTACATTCGTCTGGTCTAATTAAGACGTTTATAGTTAACGTTGAGCAAAGGATAATTAACCCTACCTCCCAGTCGGCGAATGAAGTGTCGCAGCGTATAATTGAAATCCGGCGCCCACCGTGTACGACTTAATCTATAAGCTAACGACCATAGAAAACTAGAATAAACAGGCTTTCTAAAGGTACTGATTTCCTTTAGTAGACTTACAGAGGCACAATGTGAGAGTAAGAAAAAGGAAAAAGAAATCTTAAGTTAAAATTCATTCTATGTTATTGTAATTATTTTGTTTGGTCAGATAAAAAAAATTGCTGTTCTGAACCCGACAGTGCATAGTTAACATAGGGGAGCAACTAAGCAATACTGAGAAACGTTTCGGCTAAGTTATTGTTGCATTGTGTATGAGGGAAAAAACAAGCATTGTGGATGGTTGTGGACCTTGGAATATAAACCTTGCCATTTTTGTTTACTCCTTTGAAGTTAGCCGGGACTCATAACCATAACCCACTCTTAGCTATAGACAACATTTTGTGATAATGCCAGTCATAAAGACCAGCTGCTTGCAACAAAGCCGAGATGAATTCGTAACTAGTCCAGAAATAACTCGGGAACAGAGGCAAAGGGAAAAATATTACCTTGTGCGTTATTGTGGGAATAGTTAGAAGCGACAACATGACTGATGTATTTTTAAGAAGGAGAAAGTAATTTTAGTATACTAATTGTGGACATTGTTACTGTCTTCACAGATAATTATTGCAAATTGAACGTTAACTCGGCTTGTCAAGAGTCTTAACTGATGGGTAGATGACCATCATCGGAGACCCATAGCCAGGGGCAGGAAGTCGGGGGACGAAGCAATATGCCTTCGGGTGACGCGATATTTTTGGTGAAAGTTTACTAAGACTTTCGCCCAGAAATATCTGCCCCTGGGTCTCTAGGATGAAAGATGACCAGTTGACAATAATTCTGTTAAGAAAGCCTGACAAAGGAGTTGATTTCGGGACTAAAAGGGTAAAGTCTGTATACGAGTCAAGTGATCCATCAGGCCGGCGCTTATCGATCTCCGGTTTCCGTAGCGTGAAGCGACTAGCAGTATTTCTACTCCCCCCTGGAGAGGATTACCCCAGCATTAAATTCGCCAGTACCCATTTATACACCTGAGTGGAGATGGGGCACTGTGAGAGTAAAGTGTCTTGCCAAAGAACACAACTCAATGCGTTCCCCAGCTTTGGCTTGAACCCGAACCGTTCGATCAGGAGTCGATCTTTATTAACCATGAGGCCACCGCGCCTCCACACAACATTTAGTGCCTTGTAATTTCAAACCCTTGCACTTGATTGAAAGGCTCACATTCAGTGGTTCTCCATCCAAACTCTATTAGAATAAGAAGAAATTAAACTTTGACAATGTTATGAAGCAATTTATCGTCAAGATCAGATGAGACTGGAAACTACTTTGAGCAATGAGTTACTTCACATAATGCATTTCGCGCGTAATTTTGAAGTTGCTACATGCTGCGAATTTCCTGCAGAGAGGATCGCAGAGAGGTTTCCTGTCTAAAACGTGATAAAAATCAAAGTTAGTTAAACAGAAGGAACCGTATGAGCCTCGGACAGTGATTCAATCAAGTCCAAGAGGTTCAAAATGTGCCTTCGACATCCTCAAGGAAATTACAGTTTGTGTACTGATCTACACGTGGCTTCACAGACGGGTAAAACGGCGAAATCAGTTAAACTTAACTTAACTTTCATTTTGTTATTCTTTGCAAACGTTATGTACCGTGAGTGTGAATATTTAGGTGTACTCACTGCTGAAAATCAGAGAAATGAAAGTAACGTTATGCGTACATGTCGTTTTAAGTATGTCAGGCTACATGTACATGTACATGTACATGAGGCCCATGCATGTCAGAAATTGTTTTTTAGTGCAGTGACACACACAAGTCGGGGATATTGACCGGGCATGAGGTCAAGTTAGCTCGATATTGACCACGGTTATGTTTATTAAGAACATGACAAAAGAAACATGCTAACATCCAGCCATCTTAACTGAACATGCTTGGTCAATAGAGGATTTATTATATGGTAAAAGAACATAATTTCCTTGCTAGAAACAGTGGGTGAACCCGGTTAGTAACATACATGCAGGGTCATGTTGCTGTTTGCGTAGCCAATCACAATGCCCACTCACAGAACTAGATATACAGTTGAACCTCCGGTTGGGACCACCTCTTGTACATGTAAGTGGCCACCTCTCTTCAGCAACCAGTTTTACAAAATACTAAAAGTTTCCAAGTCAAATCATTATACTTGGAACCTCTTGTAAGCGACCACCTCTCGCAAGCAAATGTGACCACTTTCAGAACTAAAAGTTTGAAGTTTTCTTTTGTTTTTAACCTCCTGTAAGCGACCACTTGACAGATAATAGAGTGGAAATTGGATAATAAGGTGCTGTAACATGACATTAACAGTAATTCCTGGGTAGTACAAGAGACAGAAATTTGTCAATGGGAATTAACAGATTTTTTCTTGAAAATGACTTAGCTGTCTTTGGCAGTTACCATATTCTAATGAGGCAAAATTTTGACCTAATATGGTCTAAGTTCTTGTAAATAACCACCTCCTGGAGTGGCCACCTAGGCTTGACATTCTGGGTGGTCGCTTACAAGGGGTTTGACTGTAATATTAATTAATAGGGAGATCAGATACTTCATGATCTCACATTAATTTTGTAAGTTGGATTTGACACTAGGGATTACAACTGTCACAGTACAGAGAAAGTCATGACTGAGTTGAAAAGCAAAGTTGCTCACTATGAAGTTGACTTGTACCCCTTCAAATGTAATAGTCTTCTTGATAGGCTGTCTGTACAGAGTATTAATTGCTACAGCTGCAAATACTTTCCCAAGATTATCTACATGTACATGTATCACTGCTACACAATAACAATAATTGGCTTGCAAGACTGACGTAAGTGACTTTTTTTGAGTGAATGTTTACTACTAAATTGAAATTAAGCACATGCAAAAATTTAGGCACTTTTGAAGGAAAAAGAAATTCCCTCAAAAAAGTCACTTATGTTAGTCTAGCTTGCACCACGCCATTATTATTGCTGGTGTACTCTGATCACCATGTCATGCAAAAAGCATTTAAAATCCTCTGAAACATTGGAATAGATCTGTGAATTGGAATAAAAATTAATAGAGTTTAAAATTATCAGTTATTGGTAAGTAGCTTTTATTTAAGTAAATTTAACACAATTCGCTTGAATTGGATTTAGCTCTCTTTTTTGTCTCAGTCAAAGGAAGGGATCTACTACCTTGTACCAATAATCTGGGTAAAAACTGATGTATGAGGAATTTCCTAGAACATGTAAGGAGGCTTGCCAAAGCTGCCTGATGTTTGTTTAGCTACAAAATTATGACAAGATCTTGCAGTGTTTCAATGATCATGTACATGTTTTGTTTCTGAGGGTTTTTAGCTACTTATAGGCAAATCTTTGCTGAT